CGAGAATCTAGGGCAATCGGGCATGCCATAGTCAAGTTTCAGGCTGGGCATTCCGAAGTTCATGTGGTCGGGTCTCCCTCCTGCCCCGCCCTCGAAGCGCGAAGTCCCGACCATGGCGTGGGCTTCGCTCCAAGGCCGACAGTCGTGATTGAATGGCTGGGCTGGACTTAGGGAATCCTATACGCTTTGCGTAACTCCACCAGTTCCCCCTTTTCCCCTCCTGTCGCCCTGCCCTTCGCCGACCGGTCTGTCGGGTGCTGGCGCCACTGTGCGACGCCCCGCTGGTTTGCTCGGCTTGCTTGCATGTGCGGTCGGCTGTCGACAGTGGCAGCTGGGCTCGCAAAATATCTGGCTCTGTGCCCTGGTCTGCCCGATTGACCCGCCCTCCGGGTGTCGCCCTTTTCCCGCGCCCGTCCCCCCCGGTCGACGCTAAAGTGCGTCTCCTCGAATTTGCTCGGCATGCTTGCATGTGCGGTCGGCTGTCGACAGTGACGGCTGGGTTCGTAAATTATCTGGCTCTGTGCCCCAGTCAGCCCGATTGACCCGCCCTCTGGACTCTTCCTTGGGGCCGCATATCAAAAAATATCACCAGCCCATCCAGACACGACGCCCAAACGAGTTGCGTTGAACAGGGATGTGGAAAAACATGCAGTAGAGTAGGCGGATGATGAGGAAGAGAGCGAGAAGGGCAGCCCATCCAGAGACAATGCCCAGACGAGTTGATCAAGAACGTGGGGGGAATATACATGCTGACGCAACAATGGAGAAACCGTCGTACCCCACGAGTGGGAAGGAGGATAATGAGGAGGAATCGGAGTCGGAGTCGGAGTCATGCCATAGGCATGCGCAATCTGGAGGACGACGGGCCTGGCATCGACGAGTGTTGTTTTGATGATGGCCCTGTAATCCTTGAGCGGTGGGACCAATCAGAGATGGCTAAATTGGACCTCGCGTGATCTGCGCAGCGGGGCCGCGATGTGCTTCTCTTAATTACAACGTAGCTAATATCCATCCACCACAAAGCAAACGCAGGGCCGACCGATAATGGGATCCGGTATGGTTTTTTTGTAGGGATGGTTGGCCTGTGCGCGTGGATCAATATGCCGGCGCCCCCGCCATCCCTGACAAAAACCAAGGCAAGGTGGTCGCGGGGCGCCCGCGCATGCTCCAGATTTGGAGGCGAAGTGCATTACGTATTTTTTGACAAGGGACGGTTGGCTTGCGCGGAATTTGCGCGCGTGCTTCAGAGTTGGAGGCAACGTGCTTTTGCGTTTGAGGGGGGGGAAGGATGGTTGGCCTGCGCGCATCAAGCAATATGCCGGCCCCCCCGCCAATCTTGTCAAAAACCCATGCAGGGGGGTCGCGGGGCGCCCGCCGGATGGTCGCGGGGCGCCCGCGCGTGTTCCGGATTTGGAGGCGAAGTGCATTTTGTATTGGTGTGGTGACAGGGGCGGTCGGCTTGCGCACAAGCTGCGCACAGGAAACAGCAAGCGGCACCCCCGCCGTCCCTGTCAAGAACCAGCGCAGAGTGGTCCCGGGGCGCCCGCGCATGCTCGAGATTTGGGGGCGATGTGCATTCTGTATTGTTTCTTGACAGGGATGGTTTGGGGTGGGGGGGGCATGCCCCGGGTTGGTCCACAGTCGGGTGGGAAAAGGGGTGTGTATCACTAGGGCTAGGGAACAATGATAAATCCATCCCCGAAGGGGAAGAAAGGGGTTGGAATAGAAAGCTCCCTAGACCACCTACGCCCAGAGGGCTGAACCTCCCGGCCAAGGTTGTTTATCAACACAGGTGTTGTCGTCTTGCACCCAGCTGGCGTGTCCTTGTTGTGTACTGGTCGCTCGGGGAGGTCCTCTGTACCACGACTGGGGTTCGCCGCGAGACTCGCGGGATGCATTCATTCTAGCAAGCAGCTCCGACAACGACGAACAAAAACCGGGCCGACTCTCAGTTATGGCGTGCGCCCGCGCACGCGTTTGACTGTGACTTGGTTGCCTGCAACTTTCTCGGGGTCTGCGTGCATTTTTCTCCGTTCTGGATTGCATCATTGAAATATCACCGTGCTCATCTCTCCATCCGAGTCGAATTGTCTTTCTGCATGTTCGCTTTGGTTTGCAGCAAATGCATGGGATTAACAGCTCACGCGGGAATCAGATCAAGGCAACGGAACATTCGTATTCGTTGTTCTTTCCTAGTGATCATTGTCGCACGGTCGTGCTAATTCACGAGCGTATCAGTCAGTCATGGAACAAGTTGGACGTTCGAAAAATACAGTATATTTGTTCAACGAGTTAGGAACGAATCAGAAAAGAAGAGCTGGGCAGATCGCTGTCATGGTGTGCGGCCTGATCTCCCGGGATCCCGTCATCAACTGCGTGGTGGCGGGCCGCTCAGATGCCTTTGCGAACGGCGACAACGCATTCTTCTCCGACCCTGTCAGACAGTGGATACCAGAAGCATCTGTATCGCACCCCTTTCCTGCCTCCTCCTCCTCCTCCTCCACAATTACTCAATATGAATACTACTCTCTCTCTCTTCCCCTGATGACGTCTTGGGAATATTCGCCTTCCCCCCCCGCGTATTGTTTTTTTACACAGGTTTCCCCGGAGTTGGGTTTTCGCTTGCATTTTTTTACCTAACAGCTTGTTCTGATAGGTTTCTAGTAGGGTCAAAAGAGAGCAGCAGATGACTCCACAGGGGGGTCTGGGCGGGTGCCGGACAGGGTGCTGCAGAAGTCGTTTTAAGCCAACAGTCACACACTTCGTGCTCTTCGACCTCCCAGAACTCCATTCCCGGGCCACATTCTGAATGCCCGGAGCCAACTGTAGGCCACTTCGTGCTCTTCGACTTCCCAGAACTCCATTCCCGGGCCACATTTTGGATGCCCGGAGCCAACTGTAGGCCACTTCGTGGTCTTCGAGTTCCCAGAACTCCATTCCCGGGCCACATTTTGAATGCCCGGAGCCAACTGTAGGCCACTTCGTGCTCTTCGAGTTTCCAGAACTCCATTCCCGGGCCACATTTTGGATGCCCGGAGCCAACTGTAGGCCACTTCGTGGTCTTCGAGTTCCCAGAACTCCATTCCCGGGCCAGATTTTGGATGCCCGGAGCCAACTGTAGGCCACTTCGTGGTCTTCGAGTTCCCAGAACTCCATTCCTGGGCATGATTTTGAATGCCCGGAGCCAACTGTAGGCCACTTCGTGTTCTTCGAGTTCCCAGAACTCCATTCCCGGGCCACATTTTGAATGCTGAGGCAGGCTGAGGCTGAGGCTGAGGCAGGCTGATGCTGAGGCAGGCTGAGGCTGAGGCTGAGGCTGATGCAGGCTGAGGCTGAGGCAGGCTGAGGCTGACGCCGAGGCTGAAGGCAGACTGAGGCTGAGGCTGAAGCAGGCTGAGGCTGAGGCTGAGGCAGGCTGAGGCTGAGGCAGGCTGAGGCTGAGGCTGAGGCAGGCTGAGGCTGAGGCTGTGTCTGTGACTGCCGTTGCCACTGCGACTGTCATCGCGAATGCGACTACGACTGCGAGAACAGCACAATTCTACAACTGGATTCTCATCTGAATCTTAAGGGGAATGCTTCCAGATATGCTCCTACACATCGCTGTTAGGTTGCTTTGCCGGGATAATTCCAAAATGCTGCTCTCGCTGAGGCGCCGGCCTCATTTTCGGGCCCCGGTCGTTCCGAATCGTGCTCCCGCTGCAGCGCTGCGGGCTGCACGCCCGAGCCGGCGCCCGGGCCGGCGCCCGGGCTGGGTCCGGAGCCGGTTCCGGCTGGCGCCGGAGAATCGAGTTCCGAGGCGGCGCCGAAAAAAGGCCATTCTAATACACATTTTTACCTAACAGCTCTTGCTGATAGGTTTCTAGTGGTCTCAAAAGAGAGCATCATGACTCCTCAGGGGGGTCTGGGCGGGACCCGGGGAGGCTGCCGCCGAAGCCGAAATCGCTTGGGACATCCTCGCAAAATCGCTCTTGGTGCTCCCAGAACTCCATTCCCGGGCCACATTTTGGATGCCCGGAGCCAACTGTAGGCCACTTCGTGCTCTTCGACTTCCCAGAACTCCATTCCCGGGCCACATTTTGGATGCCCGGAGCCAACTGTAGGCCACTTCGTGCTCTTCGAGTTCCCAGAACTCCATTCCCGGGCCACATTTTGAATGCCCGGAGCCAACTGTAGGCCACTTCGTGCTCTTCGAGTTCCCAGAACTCATTCCGGGCCACATTTTGAATGCCCGGAGCCAACTGTAGGCCACTTCGTGTTCTTCTAGTTCCCAGAACTCCATTCCTGGGCCACATTTTGAATGCTGAGGCAGGCTGATGCTGCGGCCGAGGCAGGCTGAGGCTGAGGCAGGCTGAGGCTGAGGCCGAGGCTGAAGGCAGACTGAGGCTGAGGCTGAGCAGCTGAGGCTGACTGAGAGGCTGAGGCTGAGGCAGGCTGAGGCTGAGGCAGGCTGAGGCTGAGGCTGAGGCTGATGCAGGCTGAGGCTGAGGCAGGCTGAGGCTGAGGCCGAGGCTGAAGGCAGACTGAGGCTGAGGCTGAAGCAGGCTGAGGCTGAGGCTGAGGCTGAGGCTGAGGCAGGCTGAGGCTGAGGCTGAGGCAGGCTGAGGCTGAGGCTGTGACTGCGACTGCCGTTGCCGCTGCGACTGTCATCGCGAATGCGACTACGACTGCGAGAACAGCAGAATTCTACCACTGGATTTTCATCTGAATCTTAAGGGGAATGCTTTCAGATATTGCTTCTACACATCGCTGTTAGGTTGCTTTGCCGGGATAATTCTTCTGAAAATGCTGAATTTCTTCTTCCGGCGCCCGGGAGGCCTCCCGGGCCGATTCCGACGCCCAGGCCGGCGCCCGAGCCCGCGCCTGGGACGCCCGAGCCGGCGCCCGGGCCGGCGCCCGGGCCGGGTCCGGAGCGGGTTCTGGACGGCGCCGGAAAATCGAGTTCCCAGGCGGCGCCGAAAAAAGGCCATTCCAATACAGTTTTTGTGTTTGAAAGTGCTGAATTTCTGCTTCTGGCGCCCGGGGAGCCTTCCCCGGAGCCAGGCTTTCGCCTGCAATGTTTTCCAAAATGCTGCTCTCGCTGAGGCGCCGGCCTCATTTTCGGGCCCCGGTCGTTCCGAATCGTGCTCTCGCTGCAGCGCTGGCCTCATTTCCGTGCTTCCGCTCGTTCCGAATCGTGCTCCCGCTGCAGCGCTGGCCTCATTTCCGCGCTTCCGCTCGTTTCGACTCGTGATATCGCTGCAGCGCTGGCGTCATTTCCCGCGCCATGCCACGGCATGCAATGCAATGCCAGGTTGATGCTACGCTTCGCGGTGCTCTTCTACGACATGCCATGCCGTGCTCTACAATGCATCGCGTACCCTTTCGGGATCATCGCCCTGCTTGACATCCGACTGTGCGAGTAGAGAGGGGGTCTGCGCCATGATAAGGGATGGGAGGGAGGGGTAGGATGTCAGAAATGACGCGAGCGCACCTAGCTTGTCCTCCTTCCCCTCCCGCTCCCCCTCCCCCTCCCCCTCCTCCTCCTCCTCCTCCTCCTCCTCCTCCTCCTCCCTCGCTTTCCCGTTCGAGACGGCTCTCTGTCAGGTACGCAGCGAGGTGCTAAGCTGAGAGCGCGTCCGAACGGTTCGATGAGCATGTATCGCGAAACGACAGGGAAGTGAAGTTTTGTCGCCGCCGTGGGCACCAAATTGTGGGTTCTTGCTTTCTAGATGTGAATCCAGCGATGTGAGGCACGCGATGCGAGGCATTACATCCAGATGTGTGTATGTGTGTGTCTGTCTGTCTGTCTGTCTGTCTGTCTGTCTGTCTGTCTGTCTGTCTGTCTGTCTGTCTGTCTGTCTGTCTGTCTGTCTGTATGTATGTATGTATGTATGTATGTATGTATGTATGTAGGTAGGTAGGTATGTATGTATGTATGTACGTACGTACGTACGTACGTACGCATGTATGTATGTATGTATGTATGTATGTATGTATGTATGTATGTATGTATGTATGCCTGTAGATATATGTATATATGTATATATAGCTATATATAACTATGTATATGTATGTATGTATGTATGTATGTATGTATGTATGTATGTATGTATGTATGTATGTATGTATGTTTGTATGTATGTATACATCTATATATATATATATATATATATATATATATATATATATATATATAGGTGAGTAGGCTGTGGTGAGTTAGTGCACTGTGGATGTGTGTATCTCGGGGGCGGCAAAGCGGGGTGTGATGGCTAGGGGGGGTGGATTTCATGGCGTGGGCCATGATTTTTCCTCAGATCTCATGGTGCCTCTTCTTATTTCCTTACGTCCCTGGCCCTCCCCGTGGGCCACGCACATGCCGCCGGCCATGATTTGCACCCCCCCTCTTGGACACCCCCCTCGTGGCCGCCCCCGAATAACGGGAGGTGCTGCAATCCATGTTGTGTACGATCGGAGGTACAAGATAGGTTGTGCAAGCTGTGTGGTGTGCGTAGGCCATGTGGTGCAAGCTATGCCGTTCAGGCTGTGTGTTGCACGCTATGCAGTGGACGCCGTGAGGTGTCAGCTACGGGATCTAAGCTATGTGGTCGAAGTCGTGCGGTGCAATGTATGTGGCGTAAGCTATGTGGTGTCAGCGAGATGATATGACTCATGGCCGATGTGATGCAAGCCATGTAGTGAACGCTATGTGCTAAAAGCTATGCTGGCGGACCCACCCCGCGCACGGGGCGCCCTCGGGGCGCCCATGACTGGCGAGTTGCTTCGATCAGGGAAGTGCTGCAGCATGCAGTGGAGCAGCCGCCTTGGAAGCGTGTCGGAAACGGCGGACACATTCGTCGAAGGATTCTGAGGCTCACGCCGCACCCCGACCCCTCAGGGGACTGGCGGTTGTTGCGTGTTGCTCCTGAGGGCCTCTTGGGCGCCTTTTGGGGGCTTCGTGGAGCTCTTTTGATAATCGGGAGGCCTTCGGCACATCCCGCCACCTTGCTTGGGCTGCGGGTCGGAGGTCACGCCGATGGCAGATGGGGTCTTGTGGGAGGCGTCTCGGGGGCGTTTGGGAGGCTCTTGGGAGCCTCTTGGCGGCTTTTTTGGGGCCTCTCGGAGCTCCCTGGGGCCTGTTGGGGGCTTCTTGGGGCAACTGGGGAGCGTTTTGGGGCCGAAGGCTCGAAGTGTCCGTTCGGGTTCCTGGGCCCCCTCTTGGGGCCCCTCTGGGCCGTCTTGGGGGCTAATTGGGCGGTCTTGGGGCCCTCTTGTGTCGTCTGGGGGTCCTCTTCGGGGCCTCTTGGGGCCGCCTTGGGGCGATCCAGGAGGCTTCTCGGGCCGCCTTGGACGTTGTGAGCGCAGCAGATGCGACTATGATACACATGCACGTGCTCCCAATGGAATGGGACGATTTTTGCTCTTGGAGGCCGTCTTGGGACGCCTCTTGGGGGCTTCTTGGAGCGTCTTGGGGGCCGTCTGGAGGCCAGCGTGAGCGCTTTGGATCGATGTTTCGGCGGCTCGGGGCCTCATGGTGGCCTCTTGGAGCCTCCTGGGTGCCTCTTGGGGCGGAAGGGGAAGGCTTCGATTTTCGTTTCCCCCTCTTGGGACCCTCTTGGGGCCCTCTTGGGCCGTCTTGGGCGAACCTTGGGTCGTCCCAGGGCCGTCTTGGGCCGTCTTGGGGCCCTCTTCGGTCTGAGGGCGGTCTTGGGAGCCTCTTGGGACGTCTTGGAGCGTCGGAAGCTCGAAACATAGAACTCAAGCAACATTGGACCACCCCTGGAAAATTAAGCATTTTGGCTTCTCGGGGCCTCCTTGGGAAGGCTCTTGGAGGCCTTTCATTTCGGGCGTCTTGGGCGTGTTGTTCGGCGATTCGGCTCTCGGAGCGTCCTGGGGGCCTTCCGGGACCCTCCTGGCCCGTCTTGGGGCCCTCGTGGTCGCGAAGTGGTGCCGCGGGAAGACGCACAAGGGGGTGGCCCGGGCCCCCGTGAAGAATCGTCACTGTCGTCGTCGTCGTCGTCGTCGTCGTCGTCGTCGTCGTCGTCGTCGTCATCGCCCTCCGCATTCCTCCTCGTTCTCGCCCTCGTTCTCTTCGTCCTCGTCTTCGTGCTTCTCTTCCTCCTCGTTGTCCTCATGCTACTCCTCGCTATCCTCACGTTCGCCACGTCGTCCTCGTCGTCGACTCCTCGTTGCCCTCGCCTTCCTTCTCTTCTTCGCCCAGAACGCCCATCAGACTCCAGCGGCGCTTCCCGTTCTTGTCCGATCAGGTTTGAGAATGGGGGGGGGGAGGCGGTCCAGGCTCCGTGAAGAGTCGTCAGGATTGAGGGCTGAGGCTCATGGGATGAGGCAATCTTCGGGTTGACCCAAAAGGGGGTCCAGCGACAAGGGGGTGGTGCAATAGATTTGGTGCAATAGATCTGTGGGGTTGCAGCACATTTGGGGCGTGCAGTGCATTCCGGGGCGCAAAGGTGTTGCTGGTGGATTTTCACGTGCAGTACCTTACTTGCAATACAATGCGCCACAATTCTCTGGCGCAATACATTTGCAATACAATTGCCCCAACTCTATTGCACCACCCCCTTTCAGCGGGACCCCTTCTTGGGCCACCCAACAATCTAGGCCTCCCAGATGGGGTCGGAGTAGATGTGGCTGGAGGATTGTGCCGCATCGCCGATGCATCGGCGATGCGGCTCGATGCGGAGCCTGATCTTCTCCGCGCTGGCTTCGCCGATGCACCGCCGACGTCGCCGATGCCTCGCCGATGCCTCGCCGATGCATCGGCGGTGCGTCGGCGATGCGGCGGGATCCTCCGACCCCATCTGCTCGGACCCCATCCGGGGGGGGGGGGCCTTGATAGGCATAGGGCCCGAGGACGCTGACGCTCCGCTTCGTGCCACAGGGGCACGGTGGCGGAGCGTTTTCGGCAGGGGACGGCCGGGAGGCGACGTGTCGCCCTCCCCGCCCCCCCCCCGCCGTCCTTGTCAAAGACCCGCGCAGCGAGACCGCGGGGCGTCCGCGCGCGATCCAGATTTTCGCGCAGAGGGAGCTTTTTGTATTGCTTTTGTTTGCAATGGGTCGGTGGAGTTGCGCTGGGAATAGCCCCCTCGAGGGGAAGCGGATCGGGCGGTCTTCGCGCAGGAAAAAATATATATGTTTTTTTGCAATGGGTGGTGTGGGGGCTGTGGGCCTGCGCGCAATGAGCCGTATGCCAGCAGCCCCGCCGTCCCTGTCGAAGCCAATGCGAAGTGGTCGCGGGCGCCCGCGCATGCTCCAGATGTGAAGGCGAACTGTATTGTATACAGCTTTTGGACAAGGATGGGGGGGGGGGTGGGCTGCATGGGTGCTCGCATGGGTCCGGGTTGGCTGCCCCGGTCGGGTCGGGGAGTGGGTACTTACTAGGAGGGAACAGTGGTAAACCCTTCCCCTGAGCAAGGAAAGGACGGGTTTGGCCAGAGGAGCGACATCAATTTATTCTACCACATTGGCCCAGAGGACTGGTGGGATTGGCCAAGCGCCCTGCGTGCGGAAAGTCTGGTGCACGCACCGAGCTGCATGCTGATTACGACGAGACGATGCCTCCGACGGCTTTACTCGCTGGCTTTTCATAGGCCGCTCGTTCCCTCCTCCCAGAGTGCTGCTGAGTGCAGCCGAGGCTGTCGCCGTCGGCATGGCGATGCTCGTCTGCTTTTCGCTGGTGCTCTCCCCCGTCATCGCCAAGTTCAACGCGTTCTCGCTCATCCAGGCGACCGCGAAAGGGCAGGGCCAGTATGATGTTCACATGTGCAAGTACACCTCTACGTCATATACGGGATATATTCGTATACAGTGATATATGTATGCACGTACCTCTACATATGTATATTTGTATACGTGTATATTTATATAGATACTGATAGAAGACGTCTACGGCGAGTCACCCACCGCCGCCCCCTGCCTTTTCGGACGTGCCTATGTGACCGAACGTTGCGGCGAGAGCTCAGCTAAGCTATCGAACTTCGTTTGCCCCCAGCCGTTGTGGAAGCCCTTCGGGGAACACGTGGGGAAGAAAGTAGAGGAGGAGAGGGAGGAAAAAGGAGGAGGAGGAGGAGAAGGCCTTTGGGGAGCCTCTTGGGGCGCGGCCTCTAGGAGGCCTCTTGCGCATTTGGACACCCTTAGGAGGCTCTTTCGCCGTCTGATGGCGTTCCTGGCCCGTTTGACGCTGTCGGATGCCGTCTTGGGGGCCTCTTTGGGCCGACTTGGGGCCCTCTTGGTGCGCTTCAGGGCCGTCTTGGATGCCATCTTAGGCATCTCGAAGGTCTGTCTCTTGGGCCGTTTTGGGGCTCTCTAGGGGCCGTCTTGGGAGCCTCTTGGGCTGTCTGGGGGCCGTATCGGAGGCCTCTCAGGCGCTCTTGGGGCCATCTCGGTGGCCTCTAGGGCCGCCTTGGGCAGTCGAAGAGCCGAAACTGAGCAAACGCCAGCATCTCTAAAACACTGAAGAAAAATCACTGACGATTGCCTCTTCGGGGCTTCCTTGAGGTCCTCTTGGAGGCCTCTTGGTCCTTCTTGGAGGCCTCTTGGGCGATCTGGAGGCCATGTTGGGCCATATAAAGGGCATCTCGGCCCGTCTCGTAGACATCTTGGAACCATCTTGGGCTCTCTTGGGGCCGTTGTAGCCGTCTTGGAGACCACCTTCGCCGTCTTGGAGGCCCTCCGATGGCCGTCTGGAGCGGGAAGACCGACGACTTGGGAAGCTTACGGGTCGTCGTGGAGGCGGGTTCTTTCCGATTTTTCCTTATTTTGCGCATCCTTTGCGCGTCCTTCCGGTTGGCAGGTCCTAACATTTGGCATGTCGTGCACCTTTGTGACAAGCCACAGTTGGCGGCGGATCGAAGACGCCTACGGCGAATCACCGCTGCCCCATGCCTTTTCGGAATGAGCCTCTGCAGCCAAACGGTTAGGTCTAGAGTTTGGTAAGTTATCGGACCAGGTGTTCTCCGAACCGCACTTCGGGGAACACTTGGACGAGCATGAGGCGGAGGATCAGGAGACGAAGGAGGAGGATGAGTACGAGGAGGAGGAGGAGGAGGAGGAGGAGGAGGAGGAGGAGGAGGATGAGCAAGAGGAGAAGGAGGGCTCCTGGAAGGCTCTTGAGCCACTTCATACCAGAGGTAGTAGTCGCATTATTCTCACACGCCATACAAGCGCACCCTCCGGGACGTGCCATGGCACGCGTGTCCGCGGCTTCGCGGGCTCAGGCCCTGGGGCCGCGACCCCGCGGACACGGGGCGTTTCTGTTCGCGGATGCCCCCCGCGCGGAATGCATCCGTGCAACCGCGCATCTGCGGGACCGCGCCCGGGAAATCCCGATCGCCAGGGCGCGGGTACGGACAGGTTCGCCGCTCGTGAGCTGGCAGGTGGGGTCTTGTCACCTCGGCGTCGCCCCAACGTACTTCTACTATATGTGCGTCGCCCCCCCAGGGGCGACGCGCGCACCGAGGAATCTTGTAGTATATGCGTCGTGATAGGCGCTTTTGGGCCACACCGCTCGGGAAACGATATAGATATATACATATATATATATATATATATATATATATATATATATATTACAAGATGGGTATACTATATGTTCGTGTCGGACGCGCACCTCCAAGGAGGACATATGGTATCAGTATGTTTCTGGTCGTCCCATGTCACCTCGGCGCACCCTTCCTTCTCTCCCCTCCCTTCGCCGATGCCCCGAGACTGCTCTCAGCCTGTCCACCGGCGGCGCCTCGTTCTACTTCTACACCGACACGCCCGAGCAGTACCCAGAGGCCGGCTTCGTGCGTTGCCGCTGCATCGCCCACCACCTCATGAGCTGGAGAAACACGAGGATCTGGGAGGAAGAACGGGTACCGATGCCGCTGCTCGTCCTGGAGAGCCCTCATCACCACGGCTGGATTCTCCTCGAAGTCCTGGTCAGAAGGCGCCCCACGAGAGGTCCGGGGAGGTATCGGTACTCTTTTGTCCACCCAGGGTCGCACGCCCAGACGGTGCCGCACCAGCACTGCGGGTTTTGTGGGGCGGATGCCGAGTACCATGGTGAGGTTGCCGAATCTACCAAGGCTACCCTTCACATCCTTGCCACTTCTCTGTCATCCCTCCGGCCGTGCGCCCCGACATGTCTCCAACATTGACTCCCACGGGCCTTGCACCGTAGCTACTTTACATCCTTACAGCGAGTGTTGACTGCGGCACGATATCGGGCACGTGCTGCTCCTGCCTGCTTCTCCTTTCCCTCTCGCCCTCCCCTTTGCTTTCGCTGTGAAGGCCTGCAGCCTGTTGTATGTTCGATGTTGTGTTCCCTGTTAGGCTGCCCAGGGTACGCCTTCACCAGTGGCGATGTAACATGGGTTGGAGAATACGTCAGGGGGCAGGAGGGCATCCGACCTCCCCCATCGCTGGCAACTGAGGGGTGCCAAGTTCCGTCAGAGACTGGCCAGTCTGCCCCCTTCCCGCCCAGCCGTGTTCGCGCTTCATTCCTCGCCCAGCTGGTCTCGGCGGGCTTCTGCCCGGCTCCAGCATGACTCGATGCCAGCGGTTCTTCTTTGGACTGCCGGGTTTCTCCCTCAGACCCTACCGCCCCCGCTCTTCGCCCTTGCGTCGTCCGCCCAACCTCTCCCGCGTCGTCGGCCATCTGCGCTTGGAGTCTGTGCTGGCGATGCTGCTGGCGGGGCGCCTCTCGGTGGCTGCCGAGGCGTTGCTGTGTTGCGCCGCCCCGTGCACTGGTCTGGAAGGCAGCCCCCACGAACTCAGTTGAGCGGCTGCCGAGCGCCCCGGCCGTGCGTCTCATCGGGCTACCTCCGTACCAGTCGTAGATGCTCGTGCTGGAATTTTGGTCGCTCTGCTCAGTGGCGCTGGGGCTGCGCAGCCGCGATCGAGTGTGCTGACTTGTGTGTGGCTTGGCTCTGTGCCCTGGAGCTGGTCGAGCCGTGCGGAGAACTTTTCTGCCAGCTTGACGTATCGCGCGGCTTGGTGCTCCAGTCTGAGCCGTGATCGCGTCGTGAAGCAAGGATGGTAGGCGGCTTTTGGCCGTTTCCGGCCTCAACGGGCCCTCTCTGGGCTTCGGGAAATTACTCAGAATGAAAATCCGGCCCTGCGGAACGGGTCGGACTAATGGTGACCTCGTATTGAAAAAACAAGATACCGAATGTCTGGACTGACCGCACGTAGTGTCGCTGAACACGTTACTTCTTTGGAACCCACGATGGCTAAATGTTTGGCCCCATCGCTGTTGCTTCATTCTCTCTGCGGTCCGCCCTTGCTGACGCGCCCTGTGAACTGCTTGCACTTCTAGCCTTACTCGAGCTGCATCTGCTCCTCATCTGCCGCCACTCGCTGCTGGGTGAGGTAGGTCAGCTGATCGGCATGTGTTTGAGCCGTCTCCTGTGGTGGAGCACCTGACACTTGCCTCACACTCTCTTGCTGCAGTCGTCTTTGTTGGTCGTGTTGTTAGCTGAGGTTGGGCGTTCCGATCTCCTGCTGAACGCGACTTAACAGCCTGTGTAGGTGCTCCAAGTGCTCATGCTGTGACACTTGAAACCTTTACGCGACGTGTTGCTGAGGCTCTGACTTTGCAGTGCGCACGGAAGCTCGCGTCTTTCTTCCACGATGGTCGATGGCCTTTTCGGTGCATTACGGTATTATGATCCGAGCTTCGGCTTCTGCTCTTGTGCATTGGTGCAGTACTCGTGCCAGGCTTCACGGTACCTGATGCGCGGCGTCGTGGAACATTCGGCGGACACGATCGACACGTTTGGTATAGTTGCTGGGGCTGTTGCTGCATGCGGGTGTGCGGTGAGCTCCTCGTGCCTGCGCATTCTTTCCCTCCGATCCGCTCCGTCTGCCGCTCGCGCACCCCGACCCGCGCCAGCCGTCTTGTGCGACCCGGGCGCGCCACAGCATGAGGTGCCAGGGCCGGCCCGCCGGGCCAGCCCAGCGTTGGCCACGAGGTCCCCGTGTCGGGCCCGTGCGGTTGTTTTCCTTGTTGTCTCTTCCTGTTGTTCCCCTTCCCCCTGGGCACCTCTCCTCGCCTCTCGCTCTCCGCGCTCCAGCACTGCGCTCCGGCGTTCCGCCTTCCCTCCGTCCTCCCTTTCTGTCCTCGCCATGCTGACGCTGCTCCTGTTCCTTCAGTCAGTTGCACACAGGGAGCCGCAGCATGTGCCACCGGTGGTGATCTCGTCTTGCTCCTCCCACCACTCTGCCCTGTCGTCGCCTGTCCTGAGGGCCCGCACTTCTCCGACTTCTTCTACAACTCTGTGCTGGGGACCGCGGGCACGGTCTTCTCGCTGATTGGTGCGCGGGGGGGGACGTGGCCAGTTTTGCGCCGTGACAGGTCCCTCGCATCAAGGAAGCGCGTGGACTAGCGACGGGATCCCGTTTCCGCACAGGGTCGGCGCACTCCGTCGCTAAACCAGGCGGCACGGGCCTCATGTTTTGGGGGCGCCTTCCCCCGGTCTGCGGATCCGGCGCCCACGCGCCAGATCCACGGATCCAGACTCTGTGCTCGCTTGCTCCCGATCCGGTCCGTTCGCGCCGCGTCGACCGGCGGCGACCCCGCCGCCAGCATGATGCGACGCGGAACGCCGCCGGCAGCCCAGAATCGGCCGAGGGTGAACGATCCCCGCGGTGTCAGGAACCAATGCACGGGGTCGACGCGGCACGAGCCCGCGGTGGATGGGTCCGGCTCGGCCGGTGGCCGGGTGGCGCCGTGGCCCTGCCGGGCGGGGCCGCGGCTGTGGCCCCCGTGCTGGCGCCCGCTCGAGCGGGCACGCCCCTTAGGCGCGCCGCCTCGGCCGGGGGCACGGCGACCGGGGCGCGCGGGCGGTGGAGCCTCCAGGAGGTGGAGCTTCGCCAGGGACGGGCGCGACGCTCTGGGCCTCCTGGATGGGGTCGGAGCAGCTGGGGTCGGGGGATCTCGCCGCATCGCCGATGTATCGCCGATGCATCGGCGAGATTGCTCGATGTGGAGCCCGATTTCCTCCACGTCGACGTCACCTTTGCATCGCCGACGTCGCCGATGTATCGGCGATGCATTGCCGATGGATCGCCGATGTATCGGCGATGCGGTGCGATCCTCCGACTCCATCTACTCCGACCCCATCTAGGAGGCCTCTAGACGCTCGGTTGGGTATCTCGGAGAACAGCAAGCTGCGCAAACACCAACTTTGGCACCTCAGAACAAGTTGAGGCTGACGCCGTGTTTTCAGTTCCTCAGGCACCGGCTCGGTACGATCGAACTGGGGGCAGAAGGCATGGGTACGAAGTCCAACGCCCCGGCATTCTCCACCCTTCTGCCTGGGTTGGACGTGGTCCGCCGCCAAGGTTGCGTTCGGCTTGCTCCACAGTGACTCTTGTCTTAGCGTGGTGTGCTCTCCGTGCACGCCCTCCTGCGGTGGCACCCCGCCTTCTGATTCCGATCATGTTCATACTCCTGCTCATTTGGAACAGGGTTCGCCGTCGGTGTTGCCGCACACGTTGCCCCAATTGAGATACGGTCGGACCGAGGCATAAGATAGAGGTCGGTTCGGGGCGGGATCTTCGTGCTTGTTGGATGTTCTTCCTCCCGAGTCGATTGGGGACCTGCCTTCCGGGAAACGCCGACAGCACCACTCTTGAAGCTTGCCGCCGATTCGACAAGGAGGGCGGGGTCCTCGGGGAACACCTGGCACGGCCACGCTGGGGGGCCACATGCGAACCCTACCCCCTACCCCCCCTGATTTCTGAGGGGGAGGGTGGGGTTCGCTCCGCTCGGGAGCTCCCGAGCGGAGTGAACCCCACCCTCCCCCTCAGAAATCGTGAGGGTAAGGGGTTGGGTTCGCATGTGGCCCCCTACACTAAGGAGGGGAAAGAACACACAGACACAATTAATCGTCGATTCCCCAGAAAATATGGGAAAATATGGGAAGTGGTGGGGAAGACAGAAACCCAGAAAATATGTGAGAATATGGGGAGCATTTTTTTTGTGTGTGTATTTATTTGTGTGTCCTGGGGCCCCTTCATACACGCCGCACGCCTGCCGCCGATCCGAGAATGGCGGCAGCGTCCGGGCCCGCAGCGCGGCCCCGAGGGGGCGCCGCAGCGGGGAGAGTGGGGCAGCGGCAGGCCGGCGCAGGGGGGTTGCGCGGGGGCCAGCGCGCTGCGGCTGCCGGAGAGGCGGGCCGCCAGGCACGGGAGGCCGGGAGTGGCGAGGATGAGAGGTCCTCTTCCTCCTCCTCCTCCTCCTGCTCCTCCTCCTCCTCCTCCTCCTCCTCCTCTTGCTCCTGCTCCTGCTCCTCCTCCTCTTGCTCCTCCTCCTCCTCCTCCTCCTCCTCCTCCTAGCGCCAGCTCGGATCTGGCCGTCGCCTGGGCGGGGTCAGCGAGCCCGCGCCAGGCGACCCCTGGGCCGCTGCCCTCCCCGCCCGTCCTCTCGTCCGCTCTCCTCGTCTCCACCCCCCGGGCCGCGGAATGGTGGCGCCGCCATGGTGCCCGACGGAGGGGCGCCCGCAGCGCCCTCCCCGGACGGCTGCCGAGCGGCGTGCCCAGGCGGGCCGCGCGCAGGCTCGGGCCGTTCAGGCTTTGCTGCGCGCCTTCAGCGGCATGGAGCACCGCGGCTGCCGCCCCACGCGGCTGGGGGCCACCCTCCGGGACGCGCTTCTCGTGGCGCAGGCTGGCGATCGGTGCGGAGCACATGCTGACGAAGCCGAGAGCCCCGCGGTTGCAGCCGTGGCGGAGGATGGAGACTTGTTATTCACAATGTCGCGCGAGGACACCTCCCAGAGGGCTGAAGCTGATGCCGAGGCTGGAGGCACTCTGATCGCCAGCTCGTCCGAGGTTGAAGCCCGTGCAGCGGAGCTGTCAGCTGAGAAGTTCGCCGCCGCAGAGGCCGCGATGGCGGCAGCGCAGGTGGCGGCGCCCACACCCCTCAGCAGCTCGGCGTCGGAGTTCGTCCCGTTCAGCCCGCCGTTCCAGGAGTCGACGGTCGAGGACGGGGGGATCGCAGCTGCGGCGCCTTGGGAGAGGAGCGAAACCCGAGCACGGCTGTTTCGGGATGCTGACCTCCTTCGAGGCGCTGGAGCACAGAGAGGCGCCGTGCCGACTGGCCCACAAATCAACTGGGCAGCCATAGGCGACAGCGGAGCGTTCCCGAGTGCATCGTCGGCATCGCCACCCACAGGTGAGTGCCCGCAGTCGTGAAGGGCAGCCCCGCGGCGTTCGGGCGCGGCTCGAATTTCTGGTGGTGGGTCTGGGGCCGTCTCTTCTCGGGCTTCCTCGTCGTGCCGCGGGGTCGGCGCGCAGAGTAGAGCAGTGTCGAATGGAATGCTCGTGCAGCGGAGGGCTCTTCACTCCCACATGCTGTTTGTATCGTGCCTGTTGGGTAGTGCAAGTAGCCTGTCTCGAGCAATGGCTTGAGCGGTGGACTTTATATAAGGATGTTGCTTCGCAGCTGTTCCGATTCCGATTCCTCCTCCTCCTCCTCCTCCTCCTCCGCCCTCCTCCTCCTCCTCCTCCTCCTCCTCTTGCTCCTGCTCCTGCTCCTGCTCCTCCTCCTCCTCCTCCTCCTCCTCCTCCTGCTCCTCATCCTCCTGCTCCTCCTCCTTCCCCCTCTCCTCCTCTCCTCCTCCTCCTCCTCCTCCTCCTCCTCCTCCACCACCGCCTCCTCCTCCTCCTCCTCCTCCTCCTCCTCCTCCTCCTCCTCCTCCTCCTCCTCTTCCCGTCGTGGGCGAGGCGTGGGGGAACGCCATGGGACAGGGGGGCGAGTCGTGAGCGACTCGCCGCAGGCCCTCCTCCCGCGGTCGAGTCGTGGGCGAGTGCAGCGGGACAGAGGTTGAGTTGTGAGCGACCTGCGCGCGAGCAGGCGCGCGGGCGCGGGGTGGCGCGCGCTCCGCGGCCGCCCTGGCCAGCGCAGGGCCGGTCGTCGGCACGCGTGCCACCCGACCCTAGGTCGGGCATGTCCTCCTACAGGGGGATCTTGGACGAGAAATCAAACGTGCCAAACAAGTATGCAAACGCATTGAACGTTGCTGAAAAGCGCCCCCAAACTATTGTTTTCACTACTGTGGAATATTCCTCTTGCAGAGGGACAGGCCCGACTTAAATATAACCGCCTAGCTTGCCCGCCTAGCCAGCGAGAGCATTCGCCAGGCAATAAGTTTGATCACCCCCCCAGGGCCGACTGGCCCTGGGGGGGGAGGGCAACGTCTGACAGACCATGCCTCGCAGATTTCAGGATTTCAGGAGGAGGTGCGCGCCGACTGGAAAGCGACCGCAGGAGCGAACACCATCGGGCTAGGCTAGAGAGAGGTGGGCAGGTGGCGCGTTCCCCTTTGATCGAGGTCGCTTACGCCCCCGCCTGTGGCGCACAGGTCAACCGACAGAAACTGAAGCCTCTGCGCCAAAAGACAGCACGCGCGAACTAACCCTCGAGGGCCTCCCCTGTGGAAGGTCGGAGGCCTCGAGAGGCCCTGCTAAGTTTCCTGCGGTGCTTGTCCCAAGTCGAAGGAACAACTGAAGGCCCACGGCAACATTCCTGAATCAACCTCGGAACGCCAAGCAGCATAATCATAATCCCAGCGCAGGAAGAGCAAGTGTGTGCTCAATCGTGCGGGCACATCGCGTGTCCACGGTCGCTGCAAACACGAATGTCACTCTCCTCCTCCGAGCCCGAAGGGTGCTCAGGCGGGGGATAGAGAGGACAGTGCTCTTGGAGGGCCGCATCACTAGGATCAGCGCGATGGGGCACGTGCTCCGCAGGCAACGGCTTGAGGCAGTCAGCGAACCGCTCGGCGACCTTCACAGCCTTCGTTTTGAGATACGCAGCCTGGAGCCATGCCTGGACTTTCCACCTGGACAGGGGGGTCGGCCTACAACGTTGATGGGGTTCATTGTAAGGTGAGCCGTACGGGCCCCAATGACATAGTTCTTGCGCTGAACTTCTCCCGTCTCAGAGTGCAGCGCACAATGGTGGCCCTGGAGCAGCAGATGGCAACGACTTCTCAGTCTAGTGCTTTTGGCAGATAATTTGTGCGACAGCCCATGATATGACATCCAAGGTTGCACAATGATTGGCTATCTCTGAGACTTATTGCATTCCTAAAAAGGTGTTTGCGATCATGCCGCGAGAGGAGGCTACTGGTGCAGAGTAGTCAGTCAGCCCAGGCTCTTCCAGCCCAGGCCACGAGATCAACATTTCGCTCAGCCGCTTTCTCAACCGTCAGGTGCGCAGGCGTCCACCCAAAAGCGGGCGGGTGACTGACCTTGCGCTTGGTGGCCCGCGCGAACATGGATCGTCAGTCGCTGGCATACTTACGCATCGCAATGGCAGGCTCAGGATTCCAAGGCTGGCCTTCCTTCACCAGGGCCAACAGGTAAGGGGCATGCACCTGCAAACCTGGATGGGCCCTGAGGGCATGCAAAGCGGCCGCGCGCTCCACGCGTCCAGCAGTCTGCACAGGCCCAGCCACATTCCAAGGTGAGCACGGCGTGGCTTAATACTCGCGTCTCATTTCACGATTGACCATCCAGCACGCCTGACCTCAGCCCCCCCGCTCCCAGCTCAGAACGCTCTCGGGCGCCTGCGGAGCCTGCGCAGAGAGCTCTGGGGGACCCATGGTTAAACTGCAGAGCGTCCCAATCGGGGCCAGCAAGGGATCTACTGCCTAGAGCCCTGAGGGGCGCCCGATGAGAAGAGCGGCGCTCGCGCAGCGCCTCAATGCTCAACTCAGCCTCCTCATCGGGCTCGATCGCAGGAGGGAAGTCAAGTCAGACTTGGCCAACGCAACCATCTGGATTCGCATGCGCGGCACAGGCTACGGGGATTTCTTCCCCCTTGGCAGAGGCGAGCGGGCGTCGGCAGACGATCGACCCACGGCGCTCGAAACGGCCCCGACGGTGCCGGCCGACGGTCTTGAAGTCCGAGGCGAAGTGCACGCCCCCCAGCCATCATCTACAGACTCCTGGACGGGTAGAGGTGCCGCTAGCTTCCGTGTCTGCCGCCGTCTGGCGCTAGCCTCCAGGAAGTTCTTCATGTCCGTTGGCGGTGCCTGCAGCATCTCGCCCCGCGACTTGAGCAACAACCGCGCGGTCCTGGGCAACTCCAGCCAGTGCGCCCCAGCGCGAGGAGCGCTGCTGTCGGCGGTCCTCGAGCGGTCGCCAGGGTGAAGCCCGATCCGTTCCCCCAGTCCACGCGGAGCTCGCCGAGCGCAACTCTGGCGCGCCAGGTGGAGCAGTGGTGACGGCAGAGCAGGCTTGTTGTGGCGTCGAAGACCGTTTCGTACCGAAGTGGTCGTTGGCAGTGCAAGCGCGCTGTTTTGTGCGCTTGCGATGCCCCTGCGATCACGGCGGCCACTCGACGAGCCTGTTGCAGCGCCTCATCTGAAAGCCCTGCAACTCCAGCCCCGTGGCCCACTGCAGGACTCGCACCTGCCCTCCAAACCGCGGAAGCACGGCTCCCAGCCACACTGCTAAACATGACCAGGCGTTGATGTCGTCGCTGTGGGGCCTTGGGCCGAGCCTTCTCTTGCATCCCGTGTGAGCGCACTCCTACGGTTTCATGTCCCGAAACGCGAATGCATAGCCGAAGACGAACGGGCTGCATACCCCTGCGCCGCAAAGCCTTGGCGGCCTGGGCAGCCGCGGCGCAGTCCGACATCTTGAAGCTTCTCCTTGGGCTAATCACCTGGGAGTCGGTCTCGGATACGTTGACTGATGTGACCGAGACTAACACTTCTAGCATCCGTATTGTGTGTTGAATAGACACATCATGAACCAGTGCTCTCGGCGCGAGGCCCTAATGCAGCGTGCGGATGCGACGCGGCGCCCTCGAAGCCTGGGCCTCCGGCGTGCAGGCCGCGCGGGTGCAGCCTTTGCCGCGAAACGAAACGTCTCCCGATGCCGCCATGGCCTCCGTGTTGCCTCGGCATCGCGCACATGCGCAGTGACATGCAAAGGAGTCGAGGTTGATAGCCCATGACTAGGCCTTTCCTGGACAACTGTGGCGGCCTCGACACGTCGAAAGCTTTCGCTCCGCCCAGGAGAACGAACGGTCGTCGATTGAAGATTGTGGGAGAAGGCGCTGCCCGAGGAAGAATATCTGGACCGATTGCCCCGCGCCAGCGCGCATGTCTTGCCCCCCTCTCATTGACTGGAAAGCCCGCGGCGAAGACGTCCCCAGACTCGCAAGAAAGTGCTGACCCTTGCAGTCGGCCTGTGCCCTGAGTCTGGCTTCGGTTGACGACGCATCATGGGCCATGGCCGATCCTCGGGCGATTCGCATGGCTGCCCACATCGAGCAGAGACAATCTGTTTTGCTGCAGTGCATCGCCCGACAACTGCCAGAGCAGTTTCGGGTGCATGCCGGACGGCCCAGTGGGCGTGCTTGCTCAACCGCCACCTCAGGAAGACAGGGCCGCGAGACAGCGCCACCAGGTAGCTGCGACGTCCGACGCTCGTGCCCCGACCATATCTGAGCCCACTCATGCAAGTCCTTGTCCACTCTGGCATGCGGCTGCGCCGGTTCACGTTGAAGGACAAGCTCTGAACCACAAATCCACGTACCTTTAGAAACCTGGGATATCGCGCCCGCGGCAAGGTCGCCCACCTGGTACATTGCCTGCACTTGAGATGCCCGAAGCGCCGACGAGGCCCCTTCAGCAAAGGCCGCGCGAGCCCAAAGCGCCCAAGCCTTGCGCGACTGGCGCAAGCCCTCAGCTCGGAGCCTCTTCGCTTCCAAGGCCACCGCTCGAACGAGGTCATCAACGCCACGAGCAGCCAGCACCTAGAGACCCGTTGCCAGGAGAGATCGAAGTTGCATTGGAAGTTGTTGCATGGTGGTAGTATTGCGCCGCGCACTGGCCAGGAAGGCCACGCCGTCGCACCGTCGTGAAGTGCTTGCAAGGTGAAGGAAGACTGCCTGTCACTGACCGGGCAACGTACATTGGCCACCTGCATGCTTGAGATACGGCCTCGCAGTCGATCTCGTTCGCGCTGCAGGTGGAACATTCATCGTGCGACTGTCACGTGGTCCTCTTCCAGGTGAATCGACGTGGTCCCGTCCTCTGATCCCACGCCGCAGAGACTCCCTTCGAATCGGTGGTTTCCATTGTCAGCATATGGTCCCAAGCCAGCGAACATGTCGGAGCCTCTGCCGGCAGCTCCTTCGGTATGTCATACACCCGCTTCCAGACTGGACCGGCAGAAAGTGACTGTAACAGGCAGATTGCGGTGCAAGAACCACCATCTCATCATCCATTTTGGCCGACATTGAAAGACACAGTGTTGTAGTCCAGGATCGTGCCTGGAGTGGGTTTCCTGAAGGCAGGCAATACAGACACCCGATGCATGGCAGACACTGCATGTACCCAGGCCTGCTGCACAGCAGCGTCGGTGGATTCCATCACCTCTCAGAAGCCAATCGTACCCACCACTATTCAAAGACCCATGAGCTTTGATAACTTGCCATGTATATATATATCTATATATATGTGTGTATGCAAGGCTGATGGGACCGAAGCCGTCGTCGGTATCCAGGTAGATGCTGTCCGCAACGAAGCCACCCGGCACACCCCAGTGAATATGCGTGAAAAGGCCCTCGTCTAGATATTTTCTCAGGTGACTCAAGCCCAGGCGCCACGATCGTGACATCTGAGCGTGTCAACACAGCAACTCCTACGATGGTGCCCTTGTCGGACTTCGTGTTCGGAATCGCTGCCGCCCAGTGCCCGTGCCAGTCCAAGTCTCTCGCCTGAGACCGCATCCTGGGCAGCTCATCCAATGTTGCATGATGCTCTTGGACCAGAACATCTTCGGCTCCTGACATAAGCCTCACCGTCAAGATGCTGACGCGAGAACCCGTTTGGGCGCGGGAGGGGCTCGGGTTGTCGGACCGTTTCTTAGATTTCAGTCGGGCTTGTCCCCCTACAGAAGGAACATTCAAAAATAGTCCAAACATAGTCTGGGGACGATCTTTCAACCAGTATTTTTGATTTTTCGTCCAAGGTCCCCCAGTAGGAGGACATGCCCGACCTAAGCTTACATTCGGGGCGTGGAACCTGGTTGTGGCCTAGGCCCGCCGTGGCCAGAAAAGCCCCTTCGTTCATTATCGTTCCTTATGGTGGCACGAAGACTGTACGCTCATCGAGAGCAGCGTCGTCCTGGTCCATCGCCACCGGTATGATGGTACCGTCAGCCGTGCCAGGTCCAGCAGGCTGAGGTGGTTTCGGAGCAGGTTCTGAAGCATTGGCCACAGCTTCCTTAGCTTGGTCAAGCCGAGGCGCCACGTGCTGCACCGGCTGCTGCCAACTCCGCCCCGCCGCCGAGCTGCTGGACCACCGACTGCATCTGCTCGAGGCTGGCCCGGAAGGTAGCCAGCACCGCCTCCTTGTCAGGGGATGCCCCCTGTGCTCGAGCAACTCCACGTACTCAAGGGAGAGATTCGCACGAGCCACCGGCTTCTCCTTGACCGCCTTCCGCTGCTCTCCAAGCTGCTTCTGCTTAGCCTGGACATCAGACCGATCAGTGTCGATGCTCTCCTGCTGTTTAGAAATGGTAATGTCAAGCTTCTGAATGCGATTCACCATGCCGTGCGCCTGCGCAGCGAGCGGCTTCGCAGAAGTGATCTCCTCGCGCAGCTCGCGTGCCCGCTCGGCGTGCGGCTCGTGGCCTTCAGCATCCTCAGAATTGACGCCCCATGCCTCGGCTGCCGCCTCCATGGAACCCAGGACGAACTTCGCCCCTTCGAGCTCCTTCGGCTTACAGCTCGCCTCGGATGCTGCATCGCCCTGGTCATCACGAGCCTCTGGAGCAGCAGGAGCCCTCCTGCTGCCCAGCACCGTGCTGCTGTTGCCGGTGGAGGAGCTGCACCTGCTTGCGCAACTCCACAGTCTCCTTGTCCTTCGCTGCCACGGCATTAACAGGTGTGAGTTCGGCTTTACTTTTCCGCAGACTAGGAGATGGCGGGTCCACGTCCCTGAGGTAGCAGCGTCTCTTGGAGGAAGAGAGCAGGAGGAGGAGGAGGAGGAGGAGGAGGAGGAGGAGGAGCAGAAGGAGGAGGAGCAGGAGGAGGAGGAGGAGGAGGAGGAGGGGGACGGGGAGGGGACGGGGAGGGGGAGGGGGAGGAGGGAGGAGGGGAGGGGGGGATGGAGGGCGGGAGGGAGGGAGGGAGGGAGGAGCAGGAGGAGGAGGAGGAAGAGGAGGAGGAGGAGGAGGAGGAGGAGGAGGAGGGGCGTCGCTTCGCAACAGAGGCAGAGGGAGGAGCGATGGCCCGGGGGGAGGGGCGGGGCGGAGGTGGCCAGATACGGGGGAGGACGGACGACGGCAGGAGTCAAGCAGTGGCGAGGTGTCCTGGCTTGCCTATACGTAGGCCCACCAGAGAATGTTCTAGACACCTTGTGTGCTTGCACGAAATCTTCTTAGAACATTTCTGGCGGAGGCTGTCTTGTTTTAGCACATCGGCTTTACGTTCTAAGAACGCCGTCTTTGGTCTGGGAATATATAGGAATCCTACTACGGACGGCCCCTGCTCAAAGGAACGCGATCGTTGTCGCGTCGCGGCGAATCTCGGCCTCGCTGCACCCGAATGCATCCGGTGGTTTTGGGTCGTGTCGACGCGGTGGCGACCCCGCCGCGAGCGTTCAAGGTTGAGCCCCGCCTGTGGCCCAGAATCGGCCAATACGGAGGGATCTGGCAATCAGAAGACCACCTCTCACTCAAGGTTGAGCGATCCACGCGGTGCCAGAAACCAATGCCGAAGTCGTTACGACACGAACCTGCCGTGTCTGACCTTCTGACGAATGCGAAAAGGTTTTCTTAGATGTTTGGTTCGAATGCCCTTGGCGCGCGTCCTTACGCCGCTGCTGTTGTTGAGGTGAGGCCGAGCTGGCAAGAGCCGACGAGCCCAGAGGCTGCTGCAGAACTGCGCAGCACACTCTTGGTCTGCGCGGCAAGGTCCGTGCCTTCCGATGCGGCTGCGGGGCAGGTGCGTGGGGGTGGCACCGCCAAGGGGAGGCATTTTCACCTACCAGCGGTACATGAGCAACTGGAAGTACCGGAACTTGCTGATCGTTACGAACATCACGCTCTCGGTCGGATGTGATGGGCCTGTTTTCCACAACCACCACCATAAGTTGGAAGAGGGAAGGAGGTGGAGGACGAGGAGGAGGAGGAGGGCGACGAGGAACAGGAGGAGCAGGAGGAGGAGGAGGAGGAGGAGGAGGAGGAGGAGGAGGAGGAGGAGGAAGAGGAGGAGGAGGAGGAGGAGGAGGGGGAGGAGAAGGAGGAGGAGGAGGAGCAGGAGGAGGAGAACGAGGAGGAGGAGGAGGAAGAGAACCCCCCTCGCCCTCCAACTGATGGTGGTGGTGGTGGCGGAAAACCGGCCCATCGGGATGGGGTGGGCAGGCGGGGAAACATGAGATCCCGCCCGCTCTGGCGTCCCGCCGGCCCCGCCCCGTGAGAGTCTGCCCGCCCCATCCGTCAGTCGGGGTCCGCCCGTCTGCGAGTCAGGGTCTGCCGCCCGCCTGGTCCGCTCGGTGAGGCGTAAGCGCCGAGGCGAAGCCGCAGTGAAGCGACGCCTGACGCTGCGTGACTCAAGGGAGAAGGAGGATGAAGAGGGGGAGGAGGAGGGGGAGGAGGAGGAGGAGGAGGAGGACAAGGAGGAGGAAGAGGAGGAACAGGAGGAGGACAAGGAGGAGGACAAGGAGCAGGAGGAGGAGGAGGAGGAGCATGGATCACGAGCGGGTGAAGAATGATGATGCCGATGATCAAGACGACAATGATGAGGATGATGATGGTGATGATGATGATGCTGATGATGATGACGATGACGATGACGATGATGATGCTGATGATGGTGATGCTGCTAATGATGCTAATGAGGAGTACGATGACGATGGATATCATGATGATGTAAAAGCAATTCAACATGAATGTGCTCATGACGATGCTGCTGCTGATGCTGATGATGATGGTGATGACGCGATGACGGCAGAGAGGACTATGATGTTGCTGCTGCTGCTGATGATGATGATGATGATCATGATGATGATGATGATGATGACGACGATGATGATGATGATGATGATGTTGATGATGATGACGATGACGGTGCCGATGACGATGACGACGACGCCGATGATGATGACGATGCTGATGACGATGACGATGACGATGCTGATGATGATGATGATGATTATGATGACGACGATGATGATGATGATGATGATGATGATGATGATGATACCGAAAATGACGATACTGATGATGACGACGACGAGGATGATGATGATGATGATTAAGATGATAGTGATGATGATGATGATGATGATGATGATGGTGATGACGATGATGATGCTGCTAATGATGCTAATGAGGAGTGTGATGACAATGGGTATCATGATGATGTCGAATCAATTCGAAATGAATGTTCTCATACCGATTCTGCTGCTGATGCTGATGATACTGATGATGATGATTGATGATGATGATGATGATGATGATGATGATGATGGTGATGATGATGATGATGATAATGTGATGATGGCAGTGAGGACTATGATTTTGCTGATGATGATGATGATGATGATAATGCTGATGACGATGCTGATGCTGATGATGATGATGATGATGATGAAAAAGATGTTGAGGATGATGCTGCTGATGCTGTTTATGATGTTGATGATGATGATGACGGTGACGGTACCGATGACGATGACGATGACGACGCCGATGATGATAACAATGATGATGATGATGATGATGATGATGATGATGATGTTGTTGTTGTTGATGATGATGATGATTATGATGATGGTGATGCTGCTGCTGATGATGATGATTATGATGATGATGATGGTGGTGATGATGATAATGATGACGATGAGGATGGTGGAAGTGATGATGATGCAGACGACGATGAGGGTGCTGCTGACGATGGTGATGACGATGATGATGAAGATGGCGATGCTGACGTCGATGATGGTGCTGCTGCTGTTGCTGATGACGATGATGTTGATGATGCTGCTGATTTTGTTGTTGATGATGCAGATGTTGCTTCTGCTGATGATGCTGATGCCGCTGCTGACGATGGTGATGACGATGACGATGCTGACGACGATGATGGTGCTGCTGCTGTTGCTGATGACGGTGATGTTGATGATGTGGTTGTCGATGACGATGCTGGTTTTCTTGTTGATGATGCAGCTGCTGCTGCTGATGATGATGATGCTGACGATGATGAAGATGATGAAGACGATGATGCAGATGATGTGGATTTTGATGATGATGACGATTTTTGATTCTGTTGGTGGTGATTCTGACTTTGATTATGATGATTGTGTCAATGATGATGATGATGATGGTGATGATGATGATGATGCTGATGATGATGATGGTGATGATGATGATGATGATGATGATGATGATGATGTTGCTGATGTTGCTGATGTTGCTGATGATGATCATTTTATACTCATTGATGATGCTGCTGATGATGCTGATGATGATGCTGCTGATGCTGATGATGCTGATGATGA